ATCTGAAAAAGCTTCTGTGATTTCCTGACCAAATATCCGCCGTTGTGCAGACATGTTTCGCTGTGGCTAGTTCGGCTTTCAAACTTTCTTCCATGCGTTTGTGATGCTCTTCTAATTGTTTCATTGCCGTCTATCTACTCATTAACTTAAGGCCAATACCCTCAATTAAGTTGATGAATGACTGCCTTTCAACCAGGGAAAGCGGCAAGCCTGAATCCACTAGAAATTCAATAAGTTTCTTATCGAAATTTGATTGAATACTCAAGTTTTGGTTGTTAGATTTCTTCGTAAGATATTCCTGATGAATTTCAGGATTCCGCACTCTGAGATGGCTGATAAAATTTGAAGAGACTCCCGTAAAACCGCAAATCACCTTATTGCAAGCAACGCACTCTCCGACTATTTTATCTTTTTTATTTTCTGAAATCTGATACAAGGTTTTTATATAAAATTGATTGATACCTTACTTCGTCTAAAAATTCATGTTAACCTACAACCATAAGTCAACTTACTACGGCAGACTACACAAGTACTTTAACCACACAACAAGGAGTTTCGATGTATAGTTTTGTAATGAAACTTGCATACCTTCTTAACTTCAATATAAAAATTCGATGTGAAAATTATATTGCCAAAAGTGCTTTCCATACGCCTCTTCACAAATTGTTCACCATCTCCATTGAACATCTTCCTTTTCTTCGATTCTTTCGAAGGCGTGTATGTAACATCAAAATCTTCATCATCACCAGAAAATTCACTTGCAAGTGATATTCTTCCGACATTGCGACAAATAAATATGTTTTTAAGTTAACAAAAATACCACTTTCATTTAGAATATTAAACAATGCAAACACTTGAAAGTTTGAAGTTGAAACAAATTGCAAAGCACGTTTGTTTATTTACATTTCAAACAATTACCAGTTGATAACAATTACGGTAATCGAATAACCACATGTTTGCACATACAGTGACTTACATCATTATTCGTTCACTTCAATAATTCTTTGGAAAAAATTTAGGGAAAATTTTAGTAGACGGACGGCAAATTCTAGAAAAAGGGGGGATGAGGGGGGGTAGAATAGGACCCCCTGATTTCAAAACTACCCCCCTTTTTTCTAGCAACCCTATAGTTCTTATATAATTTATTGTTAAAGTTTTCATATAAACGATGAATAAGATAGCAAAATAACATACAACTTAGTGCTACCAGACTGGAATTTTGAATAATAAAAGCGGATTTTTAATTCGGAATTTTTACTTAGTAGAATTATTATTTCTGTGTTGCCGAAGAAGGGGGGGCTGAACACATTTTGCAGAGAACACCTTTCTGCGTAGGCGGCCTTCGGCCGCACTTAGGGATTATAACCCTCAGGCAGTAGAATTCTCCTTTCTGTTTTGCGAAGAAAAGGAGCTGAACACCTTTCTGCGTAGGCGGCCTTCGGCCGCACTTAGGGATTATAACCCTCAGGCAATAGAATTCTCCTTTCTGTTTTGCGAAGAAAAGGAGCTGAACATTTTCTTTTGTATTGATTTCCCCTGTATTCCTTTTTAATCATTGCCTTCTTTGTATGTATTGTTTTGTACAATATGGCAACACATGTTATGTGTCAGTTTGCAACCATGTGTTATTGTAAATATGTGTGAAATTCAATGTAATTTACAAGTCGATAAAAGTTTAATTAAAGTGATTTATATACAAGATAAAATAAAAGTAAAGTGTGTAAAGTATTAAGTACAGTGTTATGTGCATTTATATATATAAAAGTATGCACAAATGCTTTTTTGTTAAGGAAACCAAGTGGAACGACTTAAGAAATTTTAACAACAAATAACTTATAAACAATGATATTATTTATATTTTTTAGTTATACATGTTTTAGAGGATACCTCCCTTAACATCCTGACCAAGTTTCATTTGTTAATTCCACCTGGTTTTCTTAAAACACAAGGTGCGGCTGACTACTAAAGCCCACCCAAAATTTATTGATTCTAATTCGAGCTAATTGAATATCTAATTGCATTAGCAGAAATCAATTAGATTTCTAATTGTAAAGGTAAACCACTTTTTTTGCTAATGGCAACTAATTGCAATTAGTTTTACCATTGCAATAAAAATTTCAATTATCTAATGGGAATTAGTTAAACTAATTCTAATTGTTTAATGAATTAGAGAATTTCACAAAAGAAGGTTAATTACCAATCATTAGCATTATCTAATCATTATTTAACGAGTATGATCTATAGTAGGTGCTTATAGTAGGTTATATATAAGTGAGTTTATAAAAGGGGGAGCGGCACGTACCATGGACCTGGAATTTTTTATCAGCTACAACTCCGGAGTTATAAGTCGCTTGAACTAGAAATTTCGTACGGAGCCATTTTAATGGTAGGTACTTATATTAGGGTATATATAAATGAGTTTGGAAATGAGTGCATGGCAAATCCAATAGGCATGGAATTTTTTATCAGCTATAACTTCGGAACTATAAGTCCCACGAACTTGAAATTTAGTATGCAGATATACCAATGGTAGGTGCTTATATATAAATGGGTTTGTAAAAGGGGGCATGGCACATCCCATAGGCGTGGAAATTTTTATAAGCTATAATTTTAAAACCATAAAATCAAATGAAATTTAAGCGTATCTTATTATATAAATATCCCGTGTCACTGTCTTCTACACTATTCTCCGATACCGCTTAACCGATTTCAATGAAATTTTGTGGGTGTGTATTGTTGGTTCCAACTTAAAAGATAGGATAGTTGTGAACCTGAGAAAAAATATATATTTTTTTCATCGAAATTTTTTCTATGCTTCTCGCATCGTGCTTATCTAATATATGTACATATAAAAATCGATTTCTTCCTAAACGGCTCGACCGATCTTTATTAAATTTTTTGTGTTATATATGGTTCCTCATCACGTTGGTCTCCTTGCCGTGGGGATGGGGCTTAAATGAAAATCTAAACCTCCGTTCTGGGGACTTAGATGATCATGAACTAAGAGGGAAGCTTGAAATGACTGCCTGGATGGCCACTCGTCTTGTGTACCCTCAAGGTCTGCACGGGGTGAGCGGCCTCCCCTTGCGCCATGTCAAGATCACCGTACAACGCTACGATCCCTCCTCCTATCCCACAAACACCCAATTCCCGCCCTAACCACCATCCCTTTCCCCCCTAATCCAGGGTGTTACGCGCAACCGTGCCTATTGGATGGTTTGCAGCCAGGGGTAACCGGCTGTATTCGTGCGGTGCTCTCCTGATACCGGGTCGCCTCACGAGGTAGAGTGGTCTTACTACGGCAGAGGGGACTGCCGTAGTCGACGTTCCCCCTGTCCCCATCCAAATTTTCGGGTCTGCCGCGCTTGCCTTGTCGAGCAACGCAGACGATTATGAATGAATAAATGAACAACAAAAACCCCGCCTCGGATAAACGAGGTCTTCTTAAAAAAAAAACGACCTAGCCCATCGGGCCGGTCCTGTCAATCTTTGGCAAAATATCCCTTTGGAGCCAAGCCTGTGGCAAAGCCAGGGTCTAGCTCCACTCTGTCCCAACCGGGGCAAGCCATCACGGCGGCAAGGTCCCAAGCCGATCTTAAAAGCACCAACACCACCCATGCCCTCAGGCAGGATGGTGGTGATGCCTCGATAGCCGCTGGAGGTGGACAGGCTGTCATCTCGGACACTGTCTCAAGACAAGTCAAGGATGGCACCCTCTCCAACTCAAGTGGCGGACTCGACGCTATGGCAAACCTTGCCAGTCTTCCTTCGGGAAGCTCTGCTGGCCATTTGCAAAGACAATCCAGTTGTGCTGTCCCCTCCCCAGCTGAGGTTCCTCCTAAAAAAGGAACATCGGCTTCGACGTTTGCGGAGTCGGCTCACATGACTAAGTCAGGGAATCCCAACGCCAACCCTTTAGGGTGTACGCTGAAACCCCCTTCCAAAGCGAAAGGAACCTCTGAGAGAAACTATCGCACCAGAAGATCAGCTCTGCGTATCTTCGATAGGATGAAAGATGTTGTTATATACGCCCGAATTGCAGACTGACTGCAATGCGTTTATTTCATATTCACTTAGATTGACATTTCATTACATTTGTGTGTGTATATGAAACCTCTCCCTGACTTATATAAATGAAATAGTATTAGAAGACTTAATCTAAATACAATATGAGAATCGAATATTCCATTTAGTACATTACATATATGTGCAAATGTACGTAGATACATATGTATTTACTTTATATACTTATGAGTTTTAAACTTAATCTCTCAGGAGGTTTCCGTGTACGTTTGGAACGACGAATCGCTTCTTCGTTGGCGGGATCACTCTCCATAGCAATGTGTTTTCCTACTCTGCTTTCATTTAGTTGTTGTGGATTTGTGGCGTTTGTCGTTTGTGGATGTACTTTCGGTATTAGCATTTGTTACTGCTGGCCTACCAATCTCCGCAGGTTTATGAGGAATTTGCGGATCATCTGAACATGGTTTTTGTTGCTGAATTGACTCGTCTACATTTGCTTGCCATGGCAGTTGTGAACCTACTTTTCGCATTTGATCAACGTGTCTTTTCCACAACCGATTGTCGTCTAACACCACGTTATAGTGCATTCGCCTGCGGCTTCAACTACTTTACCAAATCGCCATTTATCGCTGGCTAAATAATCCCGTACAGCAACTCTCACTCCCACCGCAAATGTTTTACTGGTACGCACATATTCTCTGTAGTAGTTAGTGGAAGCATCAAGTCTAGGCGCGATTGGATTTGACGCCCGAACAACATCATTGCTGGTGACTTTTTAGTTGCTGGATGCATTGCTCGGCGACAAGCCATTAAGATTGTAGAAAGTGTATGGTGCAACGACTTTTGCTGACATCACTTAGCTTTTAACTTGTTTTTAACCATTTGTACGAATCGCTCTGCCTGCCCATTTGTTGCTGGATGGTAACGCGCACCCTGCTTATGGACAATGCCATTGTTTTTTAAAAACTGCTTAAACTCTATGAAGTGAACTGTGTGCCATAATCGCTGACGAACACTCTTGGTAACCCAAATCTTGAAAATATTTCTTCACATAGCCTTACTGTTGTCTCCGCCGTCATGTTATTGACGATGTGAACTTCAGGCCATTTGCTTAGTGCGTCCACCAGCACAAAAAGGTATTTTCCCATGAACGGGCCAGCATAATCTGCGTGAACTCTTTCAAAAACTTTATTTGGTGGCAACCAACAATGTACTGGCACCGCAGTTGGATCGGGACGATTTGATTGACATGTCGTACAATTTGATACCAAGTCCTCTATGTCCTTGTCGAGTTGGTTCCACCAGCAATATGCGCGTGCTAATATTTTCATTTTGGTTATGCCAAAATGTCCCGTGTGTAATTCCGCTAATACCCTCTTGCGCAGTCCCTTCGGAAGGAACACTCTCATACCTCGGAGCAAGCAACCCCTTTGCAAAGAAAACTCTGACTGGGCTATACCGAAACGAAATGACGGTTCACAATCGCGGCCATATTGTAAACATTCTATGAGTCTTTTTACTTCATCCGCCTTCTTAGTTTCCCCACTTAATTCGGTTACTGTTACCGGCAAGTTTTCAATTACCTGCGTCTCGATGACGTCCACCTCATCGATGTTTTCGTTGACATTGGCGCACGGCAGGCGCGATAGTGCATCAGCATTCGCATTTTCGCTACTTTTATTTACGCGTATTTCGTACTCAAATGATCCTAAGTAAATTGCGTAATGCTGCATTCTTGTCGCAGACAGGGTTGGCAGCCCCTTATGTGGCGAAAATATCTGAGCTATAGCTTTGTTGTCGGTGACTAAGATAAATTTCCGGCCAAATAAATATTGGTTGAATTTCCGCACACCAAATATAATGGCGTACGCCTCTCGATCCACTTGGCTATAACGTTGTTGAGTCTGATTCAACGTCTGCGACGCGAACTGTATAGGTTTCTCTGTACCGTCTTTATAAACGTGGCTAAGTACTGCCCCCACCCCAATCGGGCTCGCATCCACAGCTAGCACAATGGGTAACTGCGGATCATAGTGTGTTAACACTGTATCGGATTCGATTACCTGTTTAATCGTGCTGAATGATTTCTTACAATCCGTGTCAAAATGAAACGGTATGTCTTTGCGTAGTAATCTATTGAGCGGGTACATCACCGTGCTCAAGTTTCTTATGAATCGCCCATAATAATTTACAATACCTAGAAATGATTTTACCTCATCTTTAGTCGTTGGCTGTTTCATATTGCGAATGGCATCTTCCTTCTACTCATCTTAGGTATTCCACCTTTATCGATAACATAACCGCAATACTCAATGCTATCTTGTAAAAATTCCGACTTTTGCAGATTCACTCGCATGTTATGCTGATCGAGTCTGCGCAACACTTCTTCTATTCTTTGTAGGGACGTAACGTTGTCCTTGGCAGTGATTCTGATGTCATCCAAAAAGACTTTAACTCCCGGCAAGTCGCCTAACAGCTGTTCCATAAACCGCTGCCACTTTGCTGGCACCGACGCGATACCAAACATCATTCTTGTCGGTTGATACAAGCCTTTGTGCGTATTGAGGGTTAACAAGTGTCTATCGTGTGGATGGATCTCTAATTGCAGATACGCTTTCGATAAGTCTATTTTAGAAAATTTGTTTCCCCCCGCCATTGAGCTAAATAACTCATCGATTGTCGGGAGCGGGTGTTCATCTACAACCAACTCAGGATTTAAAGTGACCTTATAGTCCCCGCATAATCTTACAGTCCCATCTTTTTTGGAACAACCACAATCTGTGTAGCCCACTCGCTTTTTTCTACCTTAACCAACAAACCTTTCTCCACTTGATTTTCTAATTCCCTTTCAACTGCGCTCATCAATGGAAATGCCACCCGCCTGGGCTTAATAAATTTCGGCGTGGCGCTCTGCTTTAAATATAATCGGGCTTGGTGCCCTGTAATCTTACCCGCTGTTGGCCAGAACAGTCGTGAAAACTTATCAATAATGTTTTTTAGTTGCCCTTCCTCGCTGACCTGCATTATAGCATTTACGTTTGCCGAAGTACTTAATTGTTCTTTTATTATTTGCGGCCAATTCAATGGAATCTCTCGAAGCCATTCTCTACCAAGGAGGGGACTGCGATCACCTCGAACGATGTACATTTTCACCCGCTTTGATTCCACCGTGACCCACACGCAACCCAAACAGTCCAACGGAGTTTTACAATAGCTAACAAATTGTGTATCAGTCGGTTTTACTTTACAGTGCCCAAAATGCCTCTTATATTTACATTCGTTTGCCTCGTGGGAAGTGTTCCCACATCGAAAACAACTCTTCTCTTTACCTTCTGATTTTGGTTTCTGTTCCTTTGCGCAGTTTTGTGTTCTGTCTTTGCTTTGCTTCTCCTCCTTCTTGTAGTTAAGCTTATTAACTTCACCTAGAGGTACCTGTTTTTGCAGTTCTCCTCCTTCTCTTTCTGCTAATTGATATGCACATGCTATTTGAATTGCGTCAGCCAAGGTTAAAACTTTTTTTTTCCAGCAATCTGCTTTGGATCTTCGGGTTTTGCAAACCAAAAACAAATTGATTCCGTAATGCGGTATCCGCACACATACCAAAATTACATCCCGTTGCTAATCGGCGCAGCGCCACGAAAAACTCTGAACACGTGTCCTCGACTTTTTGTTTGCGCGAGTGAAATCTATAATTTCCTAGGATTTCATTGTGCTTGAGATTGAAGTGCTCTTCTAGCAACTTCACGATCGCCTCCATATTTTCCGGTGTATTCGGCAATGCTTTATCACCAGGGAACGGATTTTTAGGACCTAAAAACCTATAAAAAAGGCAAAATAAAGTAACGAAATAGGCTGGAAAAGGCAAAATAAAATAGCGAAAAAGGCAGGAAAAGGCACTAGGTGTTGCAAAACAGGCAAAAAAAAGCAAAACAAAATAGCGAAAAAGGCAGGAAAAGGCAAAAAAAAGGTATTGCAAAAAAAGCAAAATAAGGCACTAAAAAAGACAGAAAATACGAAGAACTATCAAAAAAAATATTTTTTTTAGAAATGTTTATATTACAAGTAAAAAGAGAAAAACTATGAACTAATTTCATTATATGAAAAATTTGTACTTTGAATCTTTGACTATTTTATCCTTTCGAGTTTCCAACTCATAAAACTTTAATCTGTATAGTTGTAGTAACATTGAACCAGAAGATGCATTTTGAAGTTTTCTGGCAGCATTTTCATTCGATTTTCGCGAAGAAAAGCCTTGAATGTACTAAATGTGCGCTCGAGGTAAGTTGATACAAGTGGAGCCGAATTTAAATATGGAACGTTTGAAATGTTCATATTATCAGGAATAAGGGCGTTTTCCTCGCCCTTTACAATTTTATCCACACCCCTTATTGTCTTCAAGCCTACGTTAGCTGAGAAAACGGCTTTGAATTTTTTCAACACCAATTTGGCAAGAGGTCCCTGCGCTTCTATAAGCCGAAAGCTAAATCGTGGACATTCTTAATCGAATATACTCTATCTCTTTAGCAGAAAAAAATGCAATTTCCATAAAATCCGTTCCCTGTTTATCACACAGTATATCATACACTTCTGTACCCATATAGTGCAGCAAAAACTGTCGTTTTTTTGCAGCATCTGCTTCAAATATTTTTAACGCCGTTTCAAACCTCTTGACCCAACGACTCCAAGTAGTAATTTTTTCATCGATGAGTCAAAAGTAAACGATATACTTGCATTTAGACTGCTGTCTTTACCGATTCTGCTATTATATGTGAAACCACGTCTGAGTGTCTTTTCGTACTTCTCGTCGCCAGAATTTTTATATACGCCCGAATTGTGCTGGATGTCAAGCAGGAGGACTTGACTGAAGAGCAAATCAGCTCGAAAGCTTGGGCAGAATCTTTCCTGGAGATTCGCCGAGAGAAAGTTAAAGCAGACCTCCAAAAGCGGAAGCGCTCGGAGGAAGAAACAACGACCTCGGGGAAGAGAAAAAGGCCTTCTAACACCCAGATGGCTGCATATAAGGAGCCTAAAAAATCCTTTGCCGATGCGGCAAGGGAATCGCTTGTCCCTGCTGTGATCGATCGGAATGCCCTTGATGGTGGGATCACACAGCAAAATTGGGACCTGGTAACCAGAAAGCTGTGGGCGGTATATCGCGAGGTTCTCCGTGATAACGTAGGACCTCCACCCTGCTGCTCAGACGCGGGTTGGTTACGGTGTCAAAATGATTAAGTGCGCCGATGAGAGATCTGCGCAGCTTTACAAGGCCGCAATCAATAAGATTGGGGAGCCCCGGCCAGGTGCACGACTAGATGTCGTGAGGAGGGAAGAAATTCCAAATCGCCCAAGATCCAGGGCATGGATCCCGGAATCCCATGACGATCCGTCGGAGGTTCTGGGCTATATTCAGTTAGGCAATCCAGAGCTTCCAACTCACGATTGGAAGGTTGTAAAGCTGGAAGATCCAGTAGGCAAACGAAGAGTGGCGGTGATTGCCCTCAATGAGGAATCGCTTACACCCCTCTCCAATCTCAACTGGAGGATCAACTACGGCTTTCAAGCCTTGACCCTCCATGTGTATCGACAGGATATGTCGAAGAATGCTCCCTCCGTGGAAACAGTTGGGGCCGCCGTGGAGGAGACCGAATGCCCTATGGACTGCGAAGTCGCGTCCAGCTGCGACATGGTGGGTGAGCTCTTTGAGCGAATCGCCTTCACCGATGGGTCGGACGACACCGGATTGCTGACTGATACACTTGGCGATGACAAAGAGGACGTTCCTCCATTACCCGAGGACGAAGACGCCAATTGTACGGTCATTGGGCGTCCGACTAGACATAACGAAGATAATGGTGGGGATTCTACAGATTAATCTCCACCACAGCAAAGCGGCGTCAGCCGCACTACTCCTCTCCTCTCCTCAAAGAGAGGTCGTGCTCATCCAATAACCTTGGGTCATCAAAGATCGGGTTTGCGGCCTGAGCAGTAAAGATTATCAGCTGATCTACAAAAGTCCTAGAGGTAAACCAAGGTCTTGCTTATTAGTAAAGAAAAATATTTATGTCTACTCTCTGATACAATTCAGCGATGCACATAGTAGCCGTCCTGGAAACCAGCGGAAGGAAAATTTGGCTTGCCTCGAGCTACATGGCACATGACAAGCCAGCACCGCCAGCACTAGTCAGGAAGACAGTAATTGGAGCGAACACCGCTAACGTCCCGCTAATCATTGGAACAGATGCGAATGCCCATCATGATATTTGGGGCAGCTAAGCAATAATCTTAGAATATGAAATATTGGGGATACCCTCACTTTTGTAACTTCCCTACGAAGGGAGGTGCTCGACTTATCCTTCGCTAATAGACGAGGTGAGGAATTGGTGAGCAACTGGCATGTGTCCGGGGAAAACTCATTATTCGATCACATGTACATTACCTTTAAATTAAACATCTCGATTTGTGCACCTAGAGCGTTCTTAAACCGCAGACGAACAAATTGGGAGGTGTTCAGATGCTGTCTCATCAGATCTTTACCTGAAACCTCTGGAAATCTCGCGAGTACTCAAATGCTAGACTCAGAAGTAGAAGGGGTCACGAAGGCTTTTCAAAGAGCTACAAAAGCAGCATGGCCAAAAATAAAAAGGAGAAAGCAACGACCACCATGGTGGTCGCATGAAATCATGAACCTAAGGGAGGAAAGCAGGATAAAATTTAATCAAGCGAAAGCGTCTAATGTGTGGAACGAATACAAGGACTGCCAACGCCGATTCAAATATGCTGTCAGAGCTGCAAAAGGCTCCTCCTTCGAGACTTTTTGCCAAACGATAGAAAGCAACTCGGAGGCAAATCGTTTACGCAAGATCCTTTCAAAAAACCCAAGCGCGCCTAGCTACCTGCTCAAAGGGAATGATGAATGCACGAGCAGCAGCTCCGAAACGCTTGAGCTCCTCATGCAGACTCACTTTTCTGATTGTTCCGACACCAGATGATCGAACAATTTACAGATGACTTCCCCAAACGGGGGAATCCATCTTATTACTATTTCTGATGGGGACATCAAGGAAGTTATTTGCAGCTTCTCGCCCTTCAAGTCACCCGGTCTCGATGGTATCCTACCAATCGATCTTCAGAAAACAATGGATATAGTTATTCCAAAACTAAAGGCCATTTATAGAGCGGCCATCAGCCTCGCCTATATACCACAGAGATGGACGCAGGTAAAAGTTGTATTTATCCCCAA